AATCATGGCCAAGTGAAAGCTACAATCATGGCCAAGTGTAGCTACAGTCATAACAACTGCTGTTGTCGTCGTTTGTCTATTATATTAAGCCAAACTGTATTAAGACGACGAAAACCTCGTAGGTCAACTTGTAATCAGTGACGTCAGTAGGTCACGTGTCACCAGTTGCGGTAACTGAGGATGTTTTAATTTTCGGTTGGATGTCATCCTTCTCCTTTACCTGATACAACATTAGTTTGATAGTCCATTTTGCATTTTGGTCTCACCCTCTCAATGGTGTCACCTGGTGCGAATCCCCCCCCCCCCACCTCCACGGCCTAGTGCCCCTTTGACGTGTAATTGTCTTTAATTGGTGAGTACACAAACAATATTTTATGTTTACTTTTTACATCAACCTCCCACCATCAATCATCAGGTTAACCTGGCTAACAGTAACGGTTTCACTTCTTTACTAGTTTCATGTCATTGTTACTCGTGGACTTGTTTGGGTTGAAGATTAAAATAGCTATCTACATAAGTGAACCTGATCGACATAAAACAAAGGCTTTATATTTACACATTTAACATTGCGGACGTTAACTAAACGATTTTAGTGAGGATCAGATAACCTGGATTTAGCTGGTTCTAACTTGACAAAAAATAAATATTTTGAAATTGAATTAGGTGACCGGGACTTAATTAAATACACTGAATACGCGATCAAGGCTACACGTCATCTTTAAATATTTGATCGTCTGCTCGTGTCCTGCACTGATAACAGCTGTAGGTAGCTGTCGTCTGCTGGTGTCCTGCACTGATAACAGCTGTAGGTAGCTGTCGTCTGCTAGATCAACACGGCTGTAGAGTGTGGTCAAATCTGTCGCACAAGTGACACGGATCATGGGGGTCATGAGGGGGTCACGTGACGAGTGTGTCACATGTACGCTTGTGTGTCGCGGTGTGTGTGGGTGTGTGGGTGTGTGGGGGGAGTAAATTATAAATTATCTGTAACGTTTAAGTTATGGGATAGATATTATATGTAAACATATGACCTAAACATCTAAATATCACATACAGACGTCTACCTTTCTTCTTAGATGTTAAACATCATATAGGAACGTATGACATGGGTCATGTAGTATGAAATTTGGAGGGTTGTATCTGTTAAGCTGGCCATATGTTGACGTATGAGACTCGCTTTACTTGCTTTATGTGACATTTTATGTCTATGTTGTTGGTGTTACTATTTTTTTCCTCAAGTTTATGAGCTAAGTATTGGACGGCGTGGCCGAAGCAGTAGAGCACTAGGCTGCTAACCCGAAAGTCACGAGATCGAATCCGGGTCCAAGTCAGAAGAACGTCCATGAGTCCATCCATCTCTGATGGCTACCTACCTAATGCTAGGGAAAGTAAAAGAGGCTGGACAAAGTGCTGACCACAAAGTCCCTTCATATGCCGAGGCCAAGAAACATTTTAACTAAAGAGAAATCTTTATTTTTTCTTTACTTACGAGCTAAATATTCGATTTCTTGTTATAACATCCTTCCCTATTCAACTTATCATGAATCTCATGTATGACATCTAGAAACATCTAGACATCTCTCTTCATCATTTCCGATGTAATAAAATGTCATTCGTTATTGTAAACTCCATTTTACCAATAGACATAATAGCCGCATTATAAATTTCTCATTAAATCTGCCAGCTAATACAGCTGTAAAACCATGACGTCAGATCTCGCAAGATCTCGCAAGATTCCCGGATAATGTACCACAATATGGAAATATGATTACCACGGCCTCGCTCTCGCGTTCGATGGGCGTCTAAATATACAGATAAAAGCTTCAGGAGACCACGTGACCACCCGCGACCTTTCGGTGACATCTCGTGCCCAAAAAACGTGACTCTAAAAAAAGTCTGGCTGTAGATCTAGGTACAATTTAGATTTGGATACGTCTGGTCCAAGTTTTGACAACGTTTCACGAATGACTGTCATTTTTGTTTTAAGTATTTCATTGGAGAGGCTCTCATAGGCTGCCTGAAGCTAAATCTGTCTTCTTCTTTCTCAGAGATTTGAATTTTAAAACGTTTCGTTATTACCGATCAGAAAAAAATTATTTGTCTGCGTGTTTTTATGAAAACTATATTACTTAAAATAGGAAAAAAGAAACGGGCTTGATGTAGGTTATGTTTAGGAAAAAATAAGTTAATTTTAAGTTCTGATAGACTTAAAGAGAGCTGTGGTTTAAATAGCTGAATTATGAATCTCTAGCATACGTATGATGTTTATTTTCATTGTTAGGTTGTCTTTATTGTCTCACCATCTTGAGATGGGTAACCAGCGTTAGAAAATGAAAGATGGTGACATTAGGGGAGGGGTGGGGTATAGTAGGTGGTTGGCCGCTAGTGAAATCTTAAAATAAATGTCCTAAAAATGTCCTTAAAAAATTTCTTTAAAATAAATGTCTTGAAAATAAATGTCCTTAAAAATAGTCCCCTTAAAATGTTTTAAAACTATGCTACTAAAATATCCTTAAAAATATGTCCATAAAATGTCCTTAAAACTAATGTCCTTACATTATCCTTACAAATTTACTTAAAATGTCTTTAAAACTAATATCCTTAAATAAAATGACCTAAAAACAAAAGTCCTTGAAACAAATGTCCTGAAAATACATGTTTTTAAAACAAATGTGGTTTTAAACTGCAAGATATAACAACTTTCTGACACCATAACATGACTAATGTAACTAGACTAAACGAGATTGTGTACTCACCAAAATGACTAATGTAACTAGACTAAATAAGATTGTGTACACACTAACATGACTAATGTAACTAGACTTAACGTGTAGTAAAGTAATGTGGTCAGTTCTATACCCAGTCGTCTTTTATTTCTCTAAAGTAAATCAGCTAATCATCAGATTTTGACAGACTTCCTACAGACTCGAATCTGGACTTTCGTGTTAGCAGTTGTGCGTTCTAACGCCCAGCCATTCCGTCCCAAATCGAACTAAGGGAAATACACTAAATGTGTACCAAAGAAGATGACTAAAGTTTGTATAGGGTATTTCTAGGACACTCAATCAGATTAACTCTACTTCCTCTGCTCTCTCATCCTTCAAATAAAACCCAAGTTATTTAACGTTTTATTTGTTTCTATTATCTATATTCTTTTATTTAAAAAAAATCAATATTCTCTCTATTCTTTAAAAAAAAAAGAAATAAAAATTCTCTCTATTCTTTTATTTAAAAAAAAAAAAGAAAGCACGTAGAAAAAAAAAACCCTACATATTTCGTTTGGAAAAAGAGACCTAATGTCATAAAATCAATGTAATACACCAAGCTGTCATATGTAAGTCTACTAGACATGACATATCCCCTGTCACAGGCTAAAACCCTGGGTTTATTATACACCTGCAACCTGACACATTACATTGAAATAGAGGTTGGCTGTTTGCTAAAATTGCAATAATTTTTTGGTTTTTATTTCTTCTATACAGAACAGATCCGCTCTAATTCCAACCTAAATCTTCCAACAGGATAAACTAAGACCTGATTGAGCATGATTATTACAGCAGCTTTGTTGCTTATCATTCAAATTTTCAATTTATGATATCTCCGTTTTTCTTCTTCGTTCTTAAATTGTAATGTTGGAAGGGATTTCCTCCAGCACAATCAAGTCCTACACGTCAACTTATTATGCGCCATATAGGCCGTTGACTCCGATTTCAGCCTGCTTTTCTTTTTTTTTTTCACAGCCTATGTCCAACCAAGAACAAACTACAAGGCAGTAGTTGTTTGTTTTTTAATATTTTTTGTTTGTTTTCTCTGCTACATGGGTTGCTGTCCCCAGTTATCGAGCCTCATCTGTAAGTGGGCTCAAACTGTTTGACTTTTCGTTTAGCAACCGTGAGCTTTACCAACCCGACCACGCTGTTCTAAGTGAATAGATTCCTTCTAGAACCTCCCCTAAACTTGTGTTTCTGCAGATGTTCACCGACTGAGATTGATCGACTATCCTGACTAGTATAGTTCTTTTTAAAAATGTATTGTGTGATCTGTTTAAGTCACAAAATGTTATAGACGTTGGAAGCCTCGCATGTTAATCCTTCCTGTACATTTGCGAAATTTCGTCATTAGCGAAATTTTGCAATGTTTACTTGTAAAAATTGTCTACATTTATGGGTAAACTTCTCTAGCTTGGATGAAATTATTTTGGCTAGTTTCTTAACACCACGAAACATCAACATAGCTAGTCATGTGACCTTGAAGTATTGAAACTGGTCACCAGATATCTTGCCAATATTGAAACTTATCACCAGATATCTGGCCAATATTGAAACTTATCACCAGATATCTCGCCAATATTGAAACTTATCACCAGATATCTTGCCAATATTGAAACTTGTCACCAGATATCTCGCCAATATTGAAACTTATCACCAGATATCTTGCCAATATTGAAACTGGTCATTGCATACCTCGCCAATATTGAAACTTGTCACCAGATATCTCGCCAATATTGAAACTTATCACCAGATATCTCGCCAATATTGAAACTGGTCATTGCATACCTCGCCAATATTGAAACTTGTCACCAGATATCTCGCCAATATTGAAACTTATCACCAGATATCTTGCCAATATTGAAACTGGTCATTGCATACCTCGCCAATATTGAAACTTGTCACCAGATATCTCGCCAATATTGAAACTTATCACCAGATATCTTGCCAATATTGAAACTGGTCATTGCATACCTCGCCAATATTGAAACTTGTCACCAGATATCTCGCCAATATTGAAACTTATCACCAGATATCTTGCCAATATTGAAACTGGTCATTGCATACCTCGCCAATATTGAAACTTATCACCAGATATCTCGCATTATTGAAACTTGTCACTGTATACCTCGACATTAGTACCTTCCTGTTATAAACTAGGTAGGACACTGTACAATTAACGAAGACAGTATACATATATTAAAAACAGAAGTATACCATTGTATAGTTTTATATATTTTATTTTGTTTGTATCAAGATCATGGTAATCAAAATAATCACAGCACCGTTGGTCACAATATTGCACCGTAATAATACAATAGAGATATGAGTATTGCACACTAGTAATATCACACAGCACCGTACTGGTCCATCTCATACACGTATACAGCTATCAATAGATCACTTGAGATTCGCATTTATACATTTACAACTTCAATTATTTAAAATATACAATCATTTTATCATTATACTGGTTTTTATCTTTTTACATTAGAGCCATTCAAACATTCAAATCAGTTAAAAATCCTCGCATCCAATTTCTCATCCAATGTTTTTTTACACGTGCAATCATCGCGAGCCATTCGCTCCCCGCACAACATTTAGGTCGCAGACGCCAAGAAAACGGAAATTAGGTCACAGAACTGACCCACGCCTCCACTGGCATCACCGTACTCCCACAAGCCACTTGTTCCAGGCATGCCCATCCCTGGTCACATGACCCGGCATTATCGATTGCTTTTTCCTTCCTCACTCGCATTCATCCCTCGCCCATTCCGTGACGTCAGAGGTCTGACCGTTACATAAATAGAGTGGAACTTTATAAAAGTCTATCACAAGTTTGGCTCATTAAAAAAAAAAAATTCATCCAATGAAATGGACAAGTCGTGGAAAGTTTCAATGTTAAAAATAACATGTCAAATATTGTAAAAAATATGTTAACAATGAAAGCAGTATGTGCGACACAACACAAATAGGCCACAGATAAAAATGACGAATGTCTGAGTTGTTTAAGGGAATGGACGGTCATCCATCTAAGCTTAAGCTCCACTGGACGGTCATCCATGTAAGCTTAAGCTCTACATTTTATCAAGCAGCTTACACATCTAGATGTAATAACATGACTTGGACCAGTTGGTCAAGTCATGACTTGGGATGTCTATGAGTCAAGTCGATGACGGGAGCTGAATCAGATCAAGTAAATGACTTATCAACAGGTCATTTCAGTGACTGGGTTGTCAGTCAGTCGTTTTGGTGACTGGGGTTGTCGTAGGTCTATCAGTGACTTGGGCTGTCAGTCAGTCAGTGACTTGGGCTGTCAGTCAAGTTGATCTATGTATACAAGGCAAAGTGTGGAAAGTTGTGGTGTGAGACCAGCTCGACCAAGCAACTTGTGGCTACAGTGTGGTTCAAAGCCCGTTCATGAACGATGATTTGGGGGTGGGGGGTTGGGTTGGGGGTGGGGTTAGTCAAGGCATGTAACAATATAACAGTAAGGCAATGAAGTGACAAGACCCCTGGGAAAATAGACACAATTAACCAACTTAGAATTTGATACAGAAAACTGAATACTCTACATACAAGATACACTAGACTTGTCATGTTACAAAAAAAAAACCTTAAGTTTACATTTAAAATTGTTTTCTATGTGGATGATAAAAAATAAACACTCCATTCAAACTATTTGTAAGCACATTTTAAAAGATGTGAAAGAATAAAGTTACTGACATAAAACCTTGAGTTCTTGTTTAAGCGAGAGTACACAAAGGGCGTGTTTCAAGCAATATCAGATACCAAGTCCACGCCAGATTACAATGTTCATTGTCTGCTGCATCTTCTGTGAGCAGAAATCTCCAAACAAATGTACTCACTATGCGTTCAACACGACTCTGGAGCAACCTTGAACTTGGCGCGTGAAAGCTCACTGCAAAATAAGGCATCAGTGTAGGACCCTCCCCCTAGAAGGTGCAGCTATGTTAGCGCTCACCAACAGGAAACTGGGGCGTCCTTTCGTTTCGCGGTGAAATTACGTTGATAGATTATCTCGTCTTTCATCTTTCTAGAAGAAACAGTTCAAAGTTCACCTGGAGAAGAAGCGGCCGATAATGTTGACCTTCTTCTTCCTGAATTTGAGAGCGGAGAACACAACATGCTCGAAGACCTCCTTCAGACCGTCCTTCCTCTTGGCGCTACATTCGATGTAACAGTCGGCTCCTATGGCCTTGGCCATTGCCTCACCCTCCTCGGTGGACACCTCGCCTTCGTTGCCATTGCGCATGTCAATTTGTGTGCCCACGAGGATGACGGGACGTCTGCGTTTGGTGTGTCGTTTGATCTCTGGCACCCAGGAATTGCAGACACTGGAAAAGGAATCTCTGTCGCAGACGGAGAAACACAGAACCAGGACCTCGCTCTCTTTATACGTGTACGCTCTCAAGTCTTCAAAGTCACTCTGAAAATAGAAGAAACAAAACAAATCTATAAATAACTTTGAACCGGAAGGTAGTGTGTCATGTTATAAGTTCACAATGCTAAACTTCCAAGAAACCACTCAGCTAATTTATAATGAAACCCGCGACAGGGGAACCCCCAAGAACACAAAAGAACAGCGTGTAACGAGATATGCTATCCTAACTGCCATCCTGGTTTCTGGAAGACAGGATATACGCGTCAACAGTGCCGCGGGTTTCTAGGAACTAACAAAAGCAGACAGGTGGAGATGCGATCATGCGTGACTTGCTCCACATGGGGTTTCTGGTAAACCTTGGCGGAAACTTTAAATTTAGCTGACAGGATTTGTTACGTTAGGCGAATCACATAGTGGGTGTGGTATCTTGTTATATCTAAACTATAGTACAATCAAAACGTTTCGGGGAAAATATTTTATAAGAAAAAATTTAATTGGCAGAAGTAAATTAGGAGTTATACAATCTAGGAGTTTCGGTGTGAGTTTTAGAGTTCGTGTTTTATACAAGCCACAAGCTCGTACCGTCAAGCTCAGCAGACGTGAACTAGCGGTTATCTGTAGGTATATCCGGTGTGACCTTGACCTCGACTGCCAAGTCACCCACTTGGAATATTAAACCCTGTGTTGACGTCACTGGTTTAAGTTTAATCTACCCTGGAGTTAAGTTCAGGTCAACTATTTCAGTTTACCCAGAGACAAAGGTGAAGCGAGTTTTATCTGTTAAACCCTGGCTAAACCCTGGCTAAATCAGTCGGTCGCCTTGTATCGTGTTTATCTTTCAGTATCTCCCCCCTGGCTGTCCATAATTCATGCTGTCTAAAATAAACTATTAACACACTTTCACATAAACCCTACTCCACCCTACTACCCCCTCGCATTAGCTGACGACGACAGTGTTTAATCCGCGGATTAACGAGGGATTAACCAGTCACATCACGCCTTGCATTTTAAATACAGAACTAAAACTTGGTTCGGTTTCAACAATCTTCTGATAAAATGTTTAAAATTCATGACTAAACCTAAACAACAGGTAATTCATTAATTTATAACTAATCCTAACAGGCAAGTAAAAAAGTATTTACCTGTCCAGCAGTATCGAAGAGACTAATGACAAAATCCTGGCCACCGACCTGCAGTGGAACTGGAAGAAAAAAGAAAGAAAAACATGAATTTTACACTCAAATTAATCAAAAGCTACAGTAGCATTAGTTTGTGTTATAAGTATTACAAAATTAGATATATTCGTAAATAGTTTGTAAGCACTATTGTTATATTTAAAAGCATAGAAATTGTGTTTTAGAAAGTACAATGCACTTCTTTCTTTAATAAAAAAAATCTTTAAAGATGTTGATTTAACATGAATCTATTTATAAACAAGCGTGTATTTACCTGGATAATTGTCGAAAACAGTTGCTGTGTACGTTTCTGTAAAAGATTTCTCCGTGTAGGACAAGGTGAGGCAGGTTTTGCCCACCATACCGTCCCCGAGCATAGCACAGTGTACGTGTTTATCTGTGACGTCGGCCATCTTCATGATCTCTGGGAGGATCCGAACTCTGGTCGAGATGTCTGACGATAATCCACGGAATGAATACAAGTCTATGAAGCTAAGATCACAGTTTGGGTGGTTAGTTTTGGAAAGCTGAGAACAACTGGTTAGACGGAACAGGTGAGCGTGGCTTTATACTTTCTCGCGCGACCCAGATACGCCGGTGGACAAAAGCCAGCCAATCAGAAGCGAGCTAGTCGAAGGCCGTTCTCGCGAGGACAGATGAAGCGCGAGACAGCGCGGGGCTGGGAACATCGATCCCGGGGGAGGGGGGGGGGGGGTCGGTGTGCGGCTGGTCCATGTGATGTTGCCTACCACGTCTGCCCCTTCTCTTCTCGCCTCACCCGCCAGCGAGAGGGAAAAAAATATGGGAGATTGAAATTCTGCCCGTGAGTTGATTAGAACTGACCGCCCTCACTCGCTTCTAGCGTCTTGTTTTTTTAAATTTGTTTTTCTATGTGGCGTGATGCTGGCCAGTCCTCAAATGTTAAAGATATCAACTGAGCTAAATAAGCTCTATGAATATCTCTCTCTCTGTATATATATATATATATATATATATATATATATATATATATATATATATATATATATATATATATATATATATATATATATATATATTCGTGTGTGTGTGTGTATATAAGGTTTAATTGTTTAATCAACTTAAAACGAAGCGAGGGAGGGAGATTATAATAGAAAGGAAGAAATGGAAGAAAACGACACCAATGTCTTACTATTCTGATCCATATAATTAACTAGAAATGTAATATTATGTCAAAAAGATGAGAAGATTAGACTTGGATCTCACGTTCGAGAGTTGCATGGTAGGTGAGTCGTTGCGATTTGTGGACCTCACACAATAGACTGTTACTGACTTAATTATAATTAGTTTATTGTTATTATTATACTGAGATGAAGAAGAGAAAATATTCTAGACATCATATAAAGTATTTAAACACAATTGTTTATTTACTATTTGTCGTCTTGTGTTTATTTTCTGATGTTACATGGTTGTTATAATTAATAATTTAAAGCAGGGATGTTTTTACATACATCACAGGGAAAATATTTCGTGGCAAATATTTTGTGGGAAATATTTCTTAGAACTGATACAATCCGTCTACTTTACAGTAAGGGGAAGTAACCATTAAAAACACGTTAGAGATAATTGAGCCGTAATGAAGCGGAAAAATCGACGTAAGTGCTTGGGTTAACTGGAGCTGTTTGTTGTTTGGTCCTGTTTTTATTCCCTTAAAGAACTATGTCCTGTTACTGATAGTGTACTGTAAGACTTCTATAGAATGTTGTTTTTTTATCATACTTCCTAGGTGATGGCATCACGTTTTTCCTTAAGAAGTGTGTATGGTACCGGATGTGATATTCTATCTCCTTTGTGTTTGTGTGAGTGTGTCAGTGAATAAATAGTATATATATATATATATATATATATATATATATATATATATATATATATATATATATATATATTATACTTATATGTATATGACTATATAAATGTATAACCCCAAGTGCTGTTGTTATTAAGTGGTGTGTATAAAGCGGTAAACTTAGAGTTGCCATGTCCAATTTCACAATAATCTTTGTACGGCTAGAGAATTACTTTCACAATAAAAATGTCAGTTCCCTGTCTTGGCAAACTACAATAGTTTTAAAAGTTTTAAAACTAAATAGCCCATTTAGCACATTTAGCCAATGTAGCCCATTTAACCCATCCTGCCCATCCTGCCCATTCTGCCCATTTAACCCATGTAGCCTATGTAGCCCATGTAGCCCATGTAGCCCATTTAGCCCATGTAGCCCATGTAGCCCATGTAGCCTATATAGCCCATTTAGACCATTTAGCCCATGTAGCCCATGTAGCCTATGTAGCCCATTTAGACCATTTAGCCCATGTAGCCCATGTAGCCCATGTAGCCTATGTAGCCCATGTAACCCATGTAGCCCATGTAGCCTATGTAGCCCATTTAGCCCATGTAGCCCATGTAGCCTATGTAGCCCATTTAGATCATTTAGCCCATGTAGCCCATGTAGCCCATTCAGTCCCCTTTATCTGATGCATGGAACAGGGCCAACTGTTTGTAAAAGAAGATCGAACGATGATAGAAACGTCTCGCTTATATTTTGTTTCGTGCCAGTTGTACAACATAACTTACTGGACACTGGTCATTTGTTTTACCTCGCCGTGTTGTTATGACTCTAGAGTAAAACTATCCAACCCCCCCCCCCCCCCAAACACACACACACACCACACACACACACCACACACACACACACAGTCTATTTAACCTCCCACATTCTTTATTTTTTATAATTTATCACAACGGTTGGGGGAGGCGTGTTGATGATTATTTTTAGAATTATTTCACTGTATTGATTTTTGTTCGTCTGGAACTTGAGAATGTTCTGGAATTATTTGAGGGCTGTTCCGTCCAGATCGCTGGAGTCAGCTTTATGACTTACGCAGTCATCCTGGCCATGTGAGTTCGTGGTCATGACTTATGCAGTCATCATTCTGAGTCAATATCTCATGGTAATTGCTTTGTAGTCATCTTATTAAGTGAATATCTCAAGTCAAGATCGTGACTTATGCAGTCAACTCACTGACTAAATATCCCATGGTCATGATCATGACTTATGCAGTCATCTTACTAAGTGAATAACTCAAGTCGTGACTTACACAGTCATCTCTGTGAGCTTAAGCTAAGATTCATCCCGCAGCACGAGACTGGGGTATCGATATGTCTGGAGTATCGATCCAGTCCTGCCAACCCACACCGCCTGACTGATGAGTTTTCATCTCATGTCCATCTTGTAATGGGAGCAGGGGAGGGGGAGGGGGAGGGGGCTAGACATGTGGGCGGATGGTTGCATCGTATGACCTGGTGGCGCTGACCAGTGGAGCTGACCGGCAGAGCTGACCGGCAGAGCTGACCGGCAGAGCTGACCGGCAGAGCTGACCGGCAGAGCTGACCGGCAGAATTGACCGGCAGAGCTGACCGGCAGATCTTACCGGCAGAGCTGACCGGCAGAGCTGACCGGCAGAGCTGACGGGCAGAATTGACCGGCAGAGCTGACCGGCAGATCTTACAGGCAGAGCTGACCGGCAGAGCTGACCGGCAGAGCTGACCGGAAGAACTGACCGGCAGAGCTGACCGGAAGAACTGACCGGCAGAGCTGACCGGAAGAACTGACCGGCAGAGCTGACCGGAAGAACTGACCGGCAGAGCTGACCGGCAGAGCTGACCGGCAGAGCTGACCGGCAGAGCTGACCGGAAGAACTGACCGGCAGAGCTGACCGGAAGAACTGACCGGCAGAGCTGACCGGCAGAGCTGACCGGCAGAGCTGACCGGCAGAGCTGACCGGCAGAGCTGACCGGCAGAGCTGACCGGCAGAGCTGACCAGTAGATAATACAGTTTATAACATGCAACGATAAAAAATATGACAAAAATATAGCTAACATCGCTGCATCAATCGTTGCCAATGCAAGCTAAAGCATCAGATCTGTGAGGTCGAGATGTAAAAGTTTGTCAACAATTAAAGACATACCATCATCAGTTTACCCAACCATTTACGCTTTGTGTTGAATCAAAGGAAATAACTACGTGTAAAAAAAAAAAAACTTTGGTACATTGTTGCTCAGTAAAACCAAAGTTCGTGAGTTCTACCCGCCTTAAAAATACCTTACAAGTAATTCTAGGTAAATAAATAAGTGTATGTGTTACTTTATACACGTCCTATCACGCTATTCTTGATTGTGGATTTAAAGTATCCACCATCAACGGTGTTTCTTCCAGACTTCCAGGGGGGGGGGGGGGAAACACTGGTAAAAGTATGTTTTCTATATAAATTCCATTTCATTCGGTAGACTTTGAGCCCCCCCCCCCCCCCCCCCCCACCCCTGAAGAGATGCCTGGAGGAAACTAACCATTAATCTGACTGTAACGTCGTCAACCTTGACCCTGAGTTAAACACAACTTGGCCATGAGCTAAGTAGACCTTGACCTTGAGCTAACTAAAAGACTTTCCAAGAGTGTTGGATAGCTCCCGTTTGAAAAACAAAACAAATGGCCTTTCTTGTAAAGGCATGCGTGTGTCTAGAAAGCTCCCTAGTTATATAACCCGACGGTGCTAGACCCGTGCCATGACACCCTACCATGTTTCATTCTCCCCCAGGGGACGGGCCAGATCTGCACTCTAACACTCCAGCCGTCTCATCCATTTTGTCGTGGGGGGGTGGGGGAAGGGGTGAGATCCCTCATCTGCATGAAGCTAACACAATCCGAAACATTCTTTAACATAACGGCTTTTACTGGGTCAACGGCCTCAAAAAATAAAAGGCGTTCTTCGCGGGAATAAAAACTCCAGGACATGTACATCAGTAAAATAATGAAAAACTTTGATTTTAGTTTAAAATTTGCTTTCCTTATTAGTGTCTATTTCTATAACAATAGAATACAGCTCAGAAACCCAGTCGGTGACGTGGGTAATTTAGAGATCTTGCAAAAGCTAGGCTAGTTTTGTTTCTTCACATTTCTTTTGCTTTGGACGAAATGACATCGATAACTTTTGTTATCATTTGTTTTCGAAATGACCTTCATTGCTCTGGTCACGGCTCCTATACAACTTGAGGACAATGACCAGGGATTAAAGATGTATTAAAGTAATCCTAATCCGCAAGCATACCAGACGTACCCACACACATTTAAGACGTCTGTTGTATAGGTTGTTTTGATGGCAAAGTTTTTGTAATATTTGAAATGTGGGCTGGTGTATCCAGAAATCAGGGTTATCGATTCTTCCGGATAGCCAATACAGTTTTAATTAAGAAAGTTTTTTAAGGTATTACTTTTTATCAAAAAATAAAAAAGAATCATGAATTCTGTTGTTCTGCGACCTTGAGAGGTGAGATCGAAAGCAGGTAGGAGTGTGTGTGTGGGGGGGGGGGGGGGGGGGGGTGGGGGGGGGGGGGGGGGGGGATCTGACCTAATCGAAAGAAACCTTCGTTTGGCCAAAACATCGATAAAGACACATGCATTGTATCGGGGATTAAGTGTAAGAATCAGA